CCGCCGGCTCTTAAGCTGCGGGCGGCGGCGCGCGCGCCCAGTCGCCGCCCAGTCGCCCGCCCAACCGCCATGGCCTCCGCCCGCGCGCTCTGCCCGCCGCTGCTGCTGCTGCTCGCCGCCGCCGGCGCCGCGCTCGCCAAGCTGCCGCTGCGTGAGTACGCTATTGGCTGACCCCGCTTCACCGTATGTGCGCACGCGTGGGGATCGATGCCGAAAGCACATCCATAAAAGCTATTCCATCTGACAACAAGACCAGATAGTTGGAACTTACCGTGGTCTATACTCAACATTCTATTCAAAAATAGACATCATGCAATTGATTTTTCCTCGTTTTCTTTTTTTTTTTGGGGGGGGGGGAGAACCCGTATTTTGAGAGATGGTATGTATTTTATGTGAACCGCATAATCAATTTTTTCTCTTACCTCTGCACGCACTGTCGGCTTCTTCCCTGCATATTTTCCTTAACTGCATCTTTGGAGATTCCGCAAAACGTTTTGTCCGTCTTCTATATCATCTTCTTCACTTCAAGAGTTAGGTTCAAGAAGCTGCTCCGGTGCCACCTCCTTCTGCTTCTTCTGCACCTGTAGTCCACTGCGAGTGCTGGTAGTCCGCTATCAGGCATTCTTCTTAGATGTTCATACCACTTCTGATTTATTTCCAGTTTCCCCAGCTGTGGTTCGACCTCCAGTTTATTTTTTATCTTCGTATTTTTAGTTTGATATAAGATGTGATAGCCAACAGTGCTCATCAAAGACTTGATTTCTGCTGTCTGCATTTTAGAGTTATGTTTTATTTTAGAGTAATCGAAAAACATCCATGAAGGTATTCCATCTGTATCTGACAACAAAAGCATATTGTAGTGTATCTTTCTCTGTTCTCAACATTCTATTCCAAAATAGACCACATTCTATCGGTTTTTCGTTTTCTTTTTGCGGATTCCGCTTTTGAAAGGACCCCATTCACACTTTTTTCTCTTGCCTCAGCATGCACTGGCATCTCTCCTCCCCCTGCATTTGGAAATCGATACCGAAAAGAATTTTCAAAAACATATGTCAATTTCATCTGTATCTGACAGCACCAGATTGTTTGTAGTGTAATGTACTCTGTGCGATACTTTTACTCAACAGATAGTTCCAAAATAGACATCATGCTATTAATTTTTCGTTTTTTCGGGTCACTACCTATTTGAAAGGAACCGGTATTTTGGGAGAAGTATATGTATTTTACAGAACCACATACTTTATTTGTTCCCTCCCTGTACTGAAATATATATATATATATATATATATATATATATATATATGGATGGAAGTGACAAGCATAACCCTGTCAGATTAGCTTTTGAGCTGAAACTTGGTAAGCTTGTCAGGAGTATCATCTAGTAGTGTCGTTCCGCAAATCATTTCAATTTGTGCATGTGTGTGTGTGTGTTTTGGGTGTGTATGAGCACTTAACATGAAACATTAAGTAATTATATGAAAAATTGCAGAAACACTTTGTGACATTTTTTATCAAATAGAAGAAGTGCAGATATAAATATGGCATAGTTCTAATTTTCGTTAAAACCTTTGACATTTAGAAAATCGCAAAAATAGGTATACTGTATTTAATACCACATTTTTTCGGTTAGAAAGAATTTTAAATTTCTAATCTATCAAATTTCATGATTTTTCCATTAATAAAAGGTAGTGGCCCCAGATGTTTTATCGGTTGTTATTACTAACCGGTTTTAGAGTACAAACACTAAATTTTAATTAAATCATAATATTAAGGTAAACGTTTACCGGCTGTCATTTGTTCATTACCACATTGTGCGAATTGTAATCGATCTATTGAAAGTATAAGATACTTCCTCTTCCAAAACCCGCGCGACTGTAAAGCTGTGTTTAGAGACGCTAATGCGAGTTTTTTTTAAAGTTGGAAGAATGTTTTTAAAAACGTTTTGTGTTTGAATGTAAATGCAATGTCCACCAATCGTCTTTTTACAAACACTTGGTGATTATAATTATAATTCACGAATTATATTTATAAAGTAAGATGAACAGTAAGATTCCATTGTCATATTTCTCTAGAAGATCTTGGTAAATACAAACCAAAATTTCATTACATTTTCAAAAACATCTTGAACTGTGTGTTCACAATGAATAGTGGTTGTATTGTCGCTAAATGTGTAAACTTGCCTAATATCATTTGTCTTTGAGCGTTATTTCTGAACGACGCGATAAATAATGTTATTGGAGTTTTCTATTTTCCGTATAGTGAGAATGTAGAAATTTGCTAATTATTCAACAGTAAACATCTATCTTACACGTTTTATTTTTTCGCGTGCATCCTTGCTGCTCGAAATCTTTAAAGAAGTCCCAGCTTATTAAAACCTTTTTCAAACGCATTGATTCTTATGGCTTGCATGTGTTCTTCATAACTTCATTTAGTTGTAGATCTTTACGTGATATTAGGCACTTTCTTTAAAAATGTGATTGATTCGAGAAGGAAAAGTTTCGGTTCGCCGCGAAAAATTCCCAGTGATTTGAAATGTCCAGTCCCAAGGTTTCAGGACAGGTTCGGTGACAGTGCTGCATTCCAATTACGTTGTCTTCGCACCTTCCTTTCTTTTTTACGTTACATTTAACTCTCAGGAAAACTGTCTCAATTATATTGGTTGGTTGGTTGTTAGTGATTCCGGGCGCGTCAACCATTGAGGAAATCATTCCCGTAAGCGTAGTGCACGTTTTGCTCGGGGGGGGGTGGCGGTGATTTTCCCCAGCTGGATGGCGAGATCCGACACCGACCTGTCCGTCAGCTAGCGGGGTTTCCCTCAACCAGGTATCTCCCACCAGCGGGACACCATCCCAAATTGGACAATCTAAGCTCCCGTCCGGTCTCCCAGCGGGTGTGGTAGTCAAGTGCATGTTAGTGTAAGTGTGTGTAAGTAAGGGGTAAGGATAAGACAAGGAAGAGGAAGGAAATATCGTGCGCGGTCCGTGGCCCGTTTGTGCACCGGCATTCTCCTGATGTTTAGTGAAAAAAAAAACAACGCAAAACTACCAATCAGATCAGCTGGCCTTTAGAATTTCCCTGCAGACAGCGACTGAATTCGATATAGCTGACTAGCTAGTGTCGAAAATCTTGCTACTGTCGGGACCCGAAAGTAGGACCTCCTGGTCAGAGGCACTGCAATTACATACACTGAGCTGCCTCTCCCGGTGTCTCAATTAGAGAAATGTAGGAGAAGGAAGAAACCTCAATAATCCGTAGAGTACGACCGAGTTCCGTGGAAATGGTGGTGTTCATGACATGAAACAACTTCCGTGAGGGGTTTCCTTACAAATAAATCAACAATTTGGAAATAAATATATGAATTGTGTATAAATAAAATTTTTGACTGTGTTCCTACTTTTTCAATCATGAGAAGGTATAAAAATTATGAGTATTCATTTCAATTTTATTAACTTGTTGGTGTAATTCTTCTTGTGATCTTTTTTACTGCACATTTTGAGTAATACAATAGAAATAATAAAAGTGATGTGACAAAAGAATACAATAATTGTGTAATACACAGAAATACTTTTTTCCATGTGTTTGCTACAAACGGTGTAGTTGGTAAGGTAAATAGTTTACTTTTTTGAATAATAATATCCTCGATTCTTTTATCAAAATTGTTTCGTATACAAGTAGAAATGGAAAGATAGACTCGACATTGGAATACGGTGTTTTATAAAATCATTAAAAAAATACATCAGATACGTGTACGATGTTTCAGCCAGAAGCAAAATCACAGTCCCTGAAAGATTACTTGACATTGTGTTATAATTTAGAAAATCTAAAGACTAATTTCTAAAACCAAAGCATTATTATTGTGTCATTTTATATCAAAGAGAATTTATTCACAATAACCATAAAGCTATGCACTATATTTGAGTAGCGTACCAACATTTTTCATTGTATTAATTGAGATTTAAGTAAAACATTTCGTTCTACAAATACTTAATTAAATGGAGACATCTGTAAAATATTTTGTAGCTAGGTTCCAAATGGCGACCATTTATTTTCAATCACAGACTTTCTGAGGCCAATTACTGTTGAAAAAGTCTTTCCTGTGACGCAGGTAGGTTGAATGTTTTTTTGAACAAGATGTTCACTGAATTGTTCAGTAAGATCTGGGAAACTACTTCAGGCCGATTCTCCTAACAAATATTTCAACAAATCATTGACAGAAAATAAATTGGAATTGAGTGAGAATGTCTGTCCCTTTGTCTCCTCGGCTACAGTTCTCTCCTCGGGAGGCATTTCTAATAGCGGCCGTCACTTGTTTCTCAATCTCATCGCGTCTGTCCTTGCGTAACTGCACGTACACTACCGCCACTGTATTGCATGGGACGCCGGTAGATCGCAGCACAATTCCCAGTTAGCTGAGAACGGACTGTGCTAAAGATGTCCCTTTCACTCTTCCATCTCTCTTAACACATGTTTTGAAGCTTTCCTAAACCGCCTAGCTGCATTCACACGGTTTTTGCCGTTACAAGTAGAACTGAATTAAATAGTTTTGTTAAGATTGATATCGTGGTTACGATTATAATAACGAGTGAAATATAAACACGATTATAAGGATTTATAGATGGGAAAATACCGCAAATTCTAGGGAGTCGAAATCGTAGTATCTCATGAAATCTTTTGAAATTGCCTTCCTAAGCGTTTTCAAAGAGGTTTTTTGTTTCATTTCTTCGCAGAAAGTTTGCTATTTTACTAAGTAATAAATTGTTTTCGAAATATTAGTATATAATGGAAGTATTTTTTAACTTATTAGACTTGATTTCATGATGACAGTGAGAATTTAAGAAAGGGGGCAAGTCTTTTTAAGGAGGAAAGGCAATGAAATGAAGTTTCGGTGAAATTAAGTTTCTGGGTGAAAAAGTAAAGGTAAGTAAGATGAGATGTTTTTAGTAATTTTGTTATCAATAGAAATTATAGTTAGACAAATAATAAAAGTCCTAAAAAATTATTTTAATAGGAAAATTAGGTGATATTTCATAATTTACGTTGTTCAACCAATATTTATTTGTAACAAAATTTATATTTCTAAATAAAGTGAATCCGTTCATGTCCAATGATTTTCATAAAAATCTATTTTTTTGGTCAAAATTATAAATATATTTTGTGTGTTTTTTTCTTCATTATGTATGCTTCTCACTCAAGCTGCATGCGGTAGGATCATGTACCCATGTCTGCCCTACCGTTGACACTAATTTAGTAGGAAGAAAGCCTGTACTATTAATACCATAGGCATAATCGAATCCCATGATAGTTTCCATACCAAAAAAGTAAACCAAGATAAATGTGGACATAAGTAATAGTAATCGCTCAATGTAGGCCTAAATCATACTCTTTAAATGTTGAAATTTAGAGACTATCGGGTCACGAAAATCTGTCCAGTCTCAGATGCAAACGATGTTGGATGTCTTTGAAGTCTCATCCCATGTGTCAGATGTACCTCTTTATCTACATTTGACACTTCGTGTGAATTACTGTAACGAAAGAGAAAGTAGTTACTCTCCACATATACCCCGAAGGAACGCGGATAAATATTAACACGACGCAGAAGATTTCTTTTTCTTGAAATACGTTAGTGTTTTATTTAAGACTCATTGGCAATGTTAAGGCAAATGACAAACTTATATAAAAATTTCAACAATAAAAAAAGGAAATGACAAGCTTATATAAAAACTTGAACAATAAAAAACTAACTAAATACTAGTGTGATTTCCTGTAATGAAAAGAGTTTTCGTTTAACCCAATTAACTCTAATTCAAATTAATCCTAACACCTTGTAAGTTCTTAGATATTAAAATCAGCTAAGAAAAATTACAATACATATTATGGTTTTATACATTCTCTTCATACGTCTCGTAGACAGCAATTACATCATGCGTTTACAAAGCTTCCAGACAGAAATATTTACACTCAGTCTATTATGACATGAATAATAAAATAACTGGAACACATAAATGTTGAAAGCTTAGAATTCATTAATTAATATGAAATCGTGCACACATTGTACGGTATAAAAATATAGAATATTTCTAAAAATGAGAGTTTTAAAATCTCCAGTTGGATGTAAACAATAAGGCATCACTAATGTTGATGTGACAGATGTGCAATCATATAGAGAATATCGAATTTTACCAAATATCAATATTGGAAGGAAACAATCTTTACAACGGCAAATGTGATAAAACTCAACGAGCAGATCGACAAGAGTTACGAAAGTGATTTTGGTGAGTCAATGTTCTCGGTTCTCTTCTCCCCTCCACTTTCGCATCCCATTCTTTCTGACTGCCAAGGTCATGGATTGGAATGAGGACAGGAAAACCGGCTCGTGCTAATCGCATGTAATTTACTACCTGGCATTTCTTTCCTGAATTACAACGGAGTCCTTGGTTTAGGAGGTTTTGATGAGAAGCAGCTTGCGTAGCTTTGATAATAACATGCACTCATTTAATTTTTTCAAACAAATGAAGAAGAAACCAAGTTATATTTAAGCGATTTTAACCTTGATACTTCAGGACCCCTTTTGAACCAGTTTTTGCAGAATAAGAAAACTAAAATACTCCACTTCAAATTAAATATGAACCCAGCAGTAGTAATGTGATAGTATCTCTAAAACTGTTTTAATAAGTTCAGCATCTTCCAAATTTCGTTACCCTTGATTTTTATGTCGAAATATGAATTCAGCAGTTTTATAGAACTGGCACATCAATTGTGGGCCATATACGATGTGTAAGCTTTCTGTCGTAACATTCTGCTATTTAGTATACACTTCGTTTTGTGCGGCTAACAGGAGGCAGAAAATGCCACACGACATTCGCAACTACCAGCGGTGAGAGGAACAGGTTTTGGCCGAACTGGTGAACACTCGAACGCAATCGTTTCACTGCACGTTTTCTCCTACTATACGTGTTTCTCTCTTGAAGAGAAGAAATACGGTTTACTTAGCTCAATGATAATAACAATACATACCTAGAAAGAAAAAAAACATTAAAATATTAAGAGAAAAAAGTATTGAACTGCTTCGACGAAACTTGCAAGATAAACATTTTCGTATTCTTGGAGCGTATTGTTTAATCTTTTTTGGGCATATTTTATTCATTTATACTTGCTTATGATTTCACCATTTCCCCCCCCCCATAAGATTAAACTTGCGTTACTTCCTGATGTTTACTCCTCCGAAGGGATATCTGATCTTTTAATTATGACATTCATTCTAATTCTAATAGTAATAAAAACAATAATAATAATAATAATAATAATAATAAATTATATTTGGAGGCCTCTTTGTTTTGACCTATTACCGATTTGCTTCCTATTTCCTACCTATTACCAAGTAACAAATTACTTTAATTTATACCTTTGAATCATGTTTGGGGAATGACCTCCGCAAATTCTCCATATTATCGCATTTGCATCCTGTTGAGGCTATCAATGCGTGTCTCTTGCCTTTCATTTGTAATAAATGCTACTTCTACGACATATTTAGAGTTACAGTGAGCACTCATTAATACGTCGTATAATAAAATAGAATGTTGCATTAATGTATACTAATCGTTACTCGCTTCAGGAAAAAACACATACAAAAAACCTCTAATTTGAGAGAAGAGCCTGATGTCGTGAGTCGGCAAGGAGACTGTTCCGTTCACCCGGCGGGGACTGGGAGTGGGGAAATACCTGTTGCGTAATCCATCTGTGAATCCATTTGCGATTCTCCGACTGAAGTTACCCAAAATAGAAGATCGGAGTTTCGACACCCGACAATGGCGGAGTTTTTATACCTACTAAATAGCGTGTCATTTCCCCCCTCGCGAGGAGATTTCCAGAGATCCATAACACTGGCAGACTTTTTGCGTGGTTTCCTCTTATCAGTTCCAGGCGGATGTCATATCTTAACAGTCGCATGCGAATGCCACAGCGCTGCCCGGAGAGCTTTGATGGGGGTGGCCCTAGGTTCATTTGCAATGCAATTATGTGCTCGTGAATGTATTCGGGAATTTGACTTAACGTTAATAAACCGAAATAACTTTTGCTGAAATGAGGTTGTTGATAACGTCACAAAAGGATTGCAAAAGTCTAATTTTTTTAACGTCAATTCTCGGCAGGAATGTCACGCCGCTGAATCACAAATATCTGCTCTGCACTCCGTACGTTATTCGCAAACGACAACCGTATTTTTGGTGATGTTTAGACTGACTTATTTATATTTGTCTCCCGCAGTATCTATTATCATTATATATATATATATATATATATATATATATATATATATATATATATATATATATATATTGTAGAACAACACGTGCTTTGTCCCGCGGAATCATAAGTGACATCAAGCTCGAAACCGAAGCAAGCAGTTGCGCGTGGCCTCCGCCGCCAGTTGTAGCGCACGCAAAGACACGGCCTTTGTTTCTGCAGTGAAACCGAGTGGCATAAGGTCATCAGTAAGGTCCTCATTCCGGGTCCGCTACCTTCACGTCAGGGGCGACCTCAACGACTTTCGTCTTTCGCCGACGATATTATTTCCAAGCTGTCTAGTGTTGGAATTTCTGGCACTGGCACGATATATTTTTTCTAAAAGGAAATTCATTTCCTGCTTCCAGCTAACGACGTGAGTACCACCGAGGAACTCAGGACCGGGTATAAATATCCAACTCCACCTAGAGCCTTAGGTCTCGCGACTGTGTGCCTGTCCCCTGTGGGAAAATGGAGGAGCAAAGTTTTATTTGTTTAGGAACAACCTCTACGGTTCCCTGACCTATGTGGAACTTTTAAGAAGACACTGCACGAAGAGAAGCTACCGCAGGTGCACAAAATGCATTCACTGTGTAGCTGAGTGTCTGCCGGAAAACTCTCGTCTTTTATAGCGGCTCTTTTATAGATGGAATATGGACAAATCATCAGACTGTATTCAGTCCATTCCTTTCACGTAGGAAGACCGATAGTGATTGAGGGGAACTGAGATCAATGGTCTGATTACGGGGCGGAAGAGCAGGACCAATGGCTTGAGCGTCGCCATTAATAAAGACATTATTATTGTTATTATTATTGATATTATTATTATTGTTATTATTATTATTGGTTGAGCTATTTATTTTAATAAACTATTTAAAATTTGTTATTTATTAATCCATGTATGTATCGCATACCCTGCTGCATTGCGCTGTACCGAGGCAATGTCTGTTGCAGCGCCGTACGTGCGCCCTTGCAGCTTCAAGCTCTCCGACCGGAAGCTCAGCGAGTGCGCCATCAAGAGCGCGCGCGACATTTGGCCCAACATCCTCAAAGGTGAGCAGCCCTCCTCTTTCTTTTCTTCGCGTTTGGACTCTCAAATTGCGTTCAATGGCCCAGCCCCCGACATGATGTGCACCATGACGTCCCTCCCCAAAAACAATTCTTCTTGGGGCCAGCGCTCACGGTAGCCGGACGCACATTTCACCGGGGCACGGGGAGTCCTTCAAGATCAGTTCTTAGAAGGTTGGAAAGGAAGAAGGGCTGCCCAATAAGTGGTCCTGACTCCACTGTCAACGGCAGCCGAGGGGGCCATGCGTAATGCTTCGGTGTTACTTTGAGGTTAGAAGGGAAGCAAGCCTAACCAAACAGTAGCCCTAGGTTCACCACCCAGCGCAGCCATGGGTACAATTCTGCCAATGGCGTCATGCACAATGCTTTAAGGTCACATCTTAGGTTCGAAGGTCTGTTAATACAGTAGGTCTCGGTTCTCTACCCAGGACAACCATGGGGACACGTTTGCAAACGGGGCCACGCGCAGTACTTCAACTCAGGTTTTAGAAGGTTAAAAGGAAAGCAGGCCTGCCAAAACAGTGGCCTAGATACACCGTTCACAGTCATGTTCAGGTTCACAGATTACCTTTGGGGCACGCGAATTACTTGTAACGCGGTTATAGAAATACTTTAATGACATTCATTCAAGAACTAATTGTGGGGAACAAATTTCATGTCGATAAATAATCTTTATCTTAAATAATGTGGTTCTAGGAAGACGCCGAAAAAAATATTCTTTTGTAATTTCCACAATTTTGAGTTAGCAGTGAGAAAAGGACCTATGTATGCCACTTTTATAAGACTTTTTGTGCACAATATTAGTTATATTTCTGAAAAACATTAGTGGCTAAACAATTAGTAGGATTGTGTTCTAAAATGAATATTCTCAGTTCGATCTGGCCCGACTCGATGCTCCCCAATTTTGAAAAACATTCTTCACATTTTGGAAGTATTTTATATGCGACATTTTCAAAACTTTCTCAAAAAAGGCTTCAATTTGTTTCATTAAATGTTTGTTAGAAATATACTAAATGAAGTACACTTAAAGTACAATACCCTTTTATTTACTTTTCGTTACCTGGGCCCTGTTGTAAGAGTTTTTTTGCCGACAATTCGCGTTTTTTTCGCGCAGCATTACGTAACTTCCTCACTAGTCCGTACTGATAATATAAAAAATGGATCTGCCGGGTGGGTTCCTCGCTAAACTGAACGCAGACGCAGGAACTAAAACATTGTCGGTTTGATGCATGACGACATTCAGAAGAACCGACGGACGGACGCTTAAAATTTTTTTCTGTTTCAGGGCATCCCAAAACGCGTATTTTCATTGAAATATGGAAATCGATTTTCCTCAGATCGTTCATTATTTTTTACACACTACGTATATTACTTCGTATACGTACATATATTCGAAAGAAAAAATAGCGTACACAACTTTTACAATAGTTTTTTTGGTGTCCTTATATCAAAATGCGTCCTCATTCATATGACAAACGATCACATTCTGTACTAGTTACTTTTCATTTTTGTACCTGATTGCTGAGTAACCAGAAAGTTGGAAAGTGGGCATTTGAGTAAAATGATTCATTTGATTGCAGGTGACCCTAAATACAAAGTTCCTGTGCTGGACCCCATGCACCTTGACCGCCTGGTGGTGATTGACGGCAAGGGGCCCCTGGGCATGCAGCTAATTGCAAGGGATGTCAAGATGTACGGCCTGCCGGACGCCATTATCAATTCCACAACGTACGTACGAGTAGAATAAAGTTATCCGGGAGTTTGATACAGCCAATATTAGACCTTTGAAGTCGTCTAAGGAATTTATTTGCATTATTAAATAATTGCATCGGACAGACAAATAAATTAATCTATGGTCACAAATTCATTTAAAAAACTGGTAGTACTACAGAACGGCAGACTTTCTCACCCCAATTAATTTTTCTGTTCTCTGAGTTGGAGCTTCTTTTTCGATTTTTCTCCATCCTCTTCCCACCTGCTATCTATCGCCTTCCAGAACACTACCAAGGCTTCTCGTTACTCCTACTATTCCTGTGGGATACTGTTCAGTGAAGAAAACCTTAGTGGTCCCCTATAATTGCATATGCCTATCTATACATTTTTGTAGATGGCATCTCTTGATACCATCTCGGTACGTGTACCATTGTTCTGAGTGTACGAAGCCAGTTCCTAAGTTACACACACAGATTGCATACACAGTTGCCTGTCTAGTGAAGAGATTATGGAAAATTTACTGTAGGAGGGACTCGAAACGCCCTTCACATTACAAAACACTGATTGTACGTTGTAACTTAAAAAAATCCTCTTTTACGCGGGTAACGAACTCATAGCACACTTGGGCACAAGACCCCTGTCTCACGACGCCGAATCACTTAAGAGTACTAGCTGCAAATAAATTACGATTTTGCAAACATTGATGAAGCTAATAATATAAATAAAACTGACTTTTTATATATGCGATACCATTAATATGCTTTACACCACTTCATATATGTACGGGTGAGAATGAAATGAAAACTGCAATTATTTTTTCCCACTATTTTACTGCAGAGAGAGTGTTTCCTTGTAAATTATTATATATTCCTTGTAAATTATTATACCGTGTGACCCACCTAAGATGTTCCCTTCAATTTTTCCCTGAACCGTTATAGATACTGAGATGCGGTTTTGACTAAAACTACTATATGCAAGGGGCACACATGGTCATACATAATATTATTCTATTGCATTTTTTATTGCGGAGTTATTAACCCAACTTCGATTTTCTAAATGTAACTCTATAGATTTTTTAGCTCATCATCATAAGCGTGAAGAGACGAGTTCATAAATATGTATATCGCCATATGTTACATGACAAAATTTTCGAGAAATTAAGAGTTTTAAAGACTCACGCCGACTGCTGGTTTCCGTAATCTGAACGAAAAAATTCCGGGTGATGTGCGCGGTTCTCGCTCGATTTTGTGTCTAAAATTATTGTATTATTGATTAAAACTGAAAAAAACGTTCATTGAAATATAAAATAACTGCTCATTGCTTGAAAAATTAAAATGAAAAACAAATCTACTCACAACTGGGCCTTATGCAGGGTTGTTCTTAATGGGCGCTTGAGTATCCATGTCGTAAAAGGTTAACAGGTAAATGCAGAATTTTTTTCATTTTTAAAGGATGTTTCAGAGCATTTATAATACAAGTATACAAACATTTTCAAAATTTCACAAAAAATAGTTACGGGCATAAATAGATTAAGACCATCTTATTTTTAAAATTGCGATTTTTTAACTAAAAATTAAATGAAACAAATGCATTTACCCAAACGTACATGACATTTATTAAATAGCAACTGTGGACAGTAAATTGTAATTGAAGGAAAAACCTCTATGTTCTTTATTATAGAAGAGGATTATGCAATTCAGAGTTAAGAGTGAAAATTGGACCGACGCTATCATTTTAAATATATTTCACTCCGGTCTTGCACGAAATTTAAAGACAATATTCGTGATAATATTTTCTTATAAGAAAAAAATGCAAGAAATACAATTTCATGAGAAAAGTGTTCTCCTACATCATCTTTAACTCCACCCTGTTTGTTTCGGTTGCTCGTAACGGACGGCGAACTGTTAAAATCTTAAACGGACGCCGGTCGTTAAGGGTGTCTTTTCGTTGCTCTTTTTTTTGGTTGCGTTATCGCGATGTAACAGTGAAATATTAGAAAAACAATACCGATAAGGTCCTCCGCTGCGCAGGCACCGCTCCAACCCGCAGGACAATACGTACGTGGCCACCATCCCCTTGGTGCACATCACCGCCAAGTACAACGTGTCGGGCCGCATCCTGCTGCTGCCCATTGTGGGGCAGGGGAACGTCGTCATGGACCTCAGTGAGTACGATCCGCGGGCGACGCCCACTGCCAGCGCGTGCGAGCGGGAGATGGCCGATCAGACCGGGAGCAGCGAAGGAACCACGAATGATAGACACTAGGGCAAAATAGGCAGTACAGGTGGCAGTAGGAATACACCATTAGTGATTAATAGTGTTACTAACAATATAAGAGGCATTAACGAAAGTTATTAACGATAACGATACTTGTATATTATCGATATTTGTTATTAACGATATTAACGATAATGATGTCACGAGTAAGGAAAATGGCATATTATTTTGAAAATAGAAAATGTTAGAACACGACGTCGATGGGCTTAGTGGTGCAATTCTACGGGCTCGATAAAATCACTTTTACCACGTGTGTGATACACTATTTTGTAGACAGCCTTACCTATACAGTCATCTTTTTTAAATATATGATATTTTATAACTAATTTAATTTAAGACAAAAAATCTTTATCTTGAATATTGTAACTTTTAAATGTTAACTTTTTTTGATTTTCGAAAGCACAGAGTTCGCGAATGGGACCAGGACCAATTTTTATACCGATCGTTGTTACATATGAGGAGAAAATATAAAAGAAAAGTTTGGACATTTTTTTTACAAAAATGTTTTAAAATTGTATATATTTCCCGCAAAAAATCTCTAAAACAACTCATATTTTCGAAAGATTGTATGTGACCTTATTAAAAGATATATCTTTCAACTCTATTTTCTACATTGTAGGTTCAGATCTACAACGGAAAAAATATTGCACTAGTGCAGTTTTCAAAAAATCAGGGATTTCAATGAAAATGATAACTACACTATTCTTTTAAGCGGCCTTTATGCTATCAAAGGTGAAAGTTAAATCCAAAAATTTGATAGTTACACATTGATATGGTGAGCACTATTTACAGAGATTGAATTGGCTGAAGCAGGAAATTAAAGTATTGCATTGGAACTATTTTGCTAGACCATTATTCATAAATTCTTCCTTGACGATGTGGCAGGTGAAGAGGTCGGGGTGTGAGCACATTTGGTTTCTTGCCTTCTGCATGAACATTTGTGTTTCAATGTGTATTACGAAACTAATATTAATTTTGAGAAGTTTGACTTTAGGTAATCAAAGTATCCCTTTGCAAGTGGATAAATGTGTTTAAAAACTTGTGAATTTGTCATTATTGTTAACTTGTGAACAAGAGAATTCAGTTTTTTACGGGAAGCATGGGTTTCGAACTCAGCTATTTTGTTCTAGAGAGTTAAAATTTAATTGTGAATCAACTTATATGAACCTTCCATTGTTTCTAAGTACTCGTTATAACCACCCAAAGTTGTAATTTTTCCACTACATCTATTATATGCTTAAGTCATTGGAATGGCTGTTATGAAATTTTTTAAAATTGTTATGAAGACTAATATTCCGAAACATGGCAAGGTATTCGCCAGATGACCAACAGTCGTCTTATAATACTCCAGGTCGACTGACTGCCAGACTTGCGAAGAAGTCCTTTGCTGACGCCTGTCGTACCTAAACCTTCCCCTTAGTAAATGCGAAGTCAGAAGTTAACATATTACCACGCTGTAGCGTCTCCGAAAGTTTCGTCCTGATATAAATTACATTCTTTTATGAAGCTGATTCCAAACCTAACGGCCATGACTGGAATGGAGGATGAATGACTAGTTAAATAGATGACTACGAAGGTTTCTATTAACAATTTCGAATCCGTCAGGCGTCAGTAGTACCCTATCAAAATCGGCATATTTTTTTTCAAATGAGCGCAGCACTCTACATTCAGAAATTTTAAAGGAATGTTCTCTATGAAAATTACACGGAGAGGAAACTACCAGGTGACTTACTTTTTCAGAAAATGTAAAGCTGGTGTATCAGTTTGACTACCGGCTGGAAAAGCTGGAAGATGGAGAGACTTACTACATTCCCCTGCCCGGAGCTCGTCTCGACCTAGATGTTGACGGAATGACCATCAAGATGGACAATCTCTTCAATGGAGACGGAGCACTACGTAAGTAACTAGAAGACAAGAAAAACATAACAATTAGTAAATAGCCTGTACCGGTTCTAAAGGGTTGCCCGAAAACACTTGTTATTTGGTGAGCCCTTTAGATTCAGTACATTTATATCAGGTAATAAGTTAGTAAGAGATATACGGTGAAGAAGATTCATAACTTATGAAGACTAGAACGAACGTTCAATCGGATTCATTGAATACTCTTTGAGTTCAAGGTAAACCAAAAAAACTACATTACTCGCTAATCAGCTATGTTAAACTACCTCAATAGCCTATACGAATGTGAATTTTTGCATATGAAAACTCGACCCCTCCCCCCGACGTTTCCCACATCCGTATGAAGACAAAAATATGTTTGCAATACATGTTTGAAAAAAAGGCGAGTTACTGCACGTACCTGGCAGAATTGGATATTAAATACATTCAGTACAGTTTCGCTTCTGAAATACACTGATTTGTGGGGAGGGTGCTTTGTGTTCACATTGATTGGGTAAAACAGTGTGTTAGTACTTTTAAAAAAGGCAGCCATAATCCTACGTAACATGCTGCATCTATCTACGATTTTTACGGGTGTTTGTTTCTTCACCATTAGTAGGATTCACATAAGGCTTATTTAGATATGCCCCGTACATATTCTGAGTCATCATGAATAGTGTCCAGTTTCTTCAGTACATTAGATTTGGCAGAGTTGGAAACCAGTAATCCATAATATATTTTGTTTCTAACTATTGTCTTGCTCGTAAGTAGTATGACTGTTGTGTTATCTCCACAGTAGGTGTGGGCTGTACAATTAAGAATATTTAATCTGTTCTAGTAATCATAAACTAGTCTTTCGGTATAATTCTTCCCTGTATATTAATTTCGAAGTATTTTCAGTATTTTGGTATCCCAGTATTTTGGTATTTTGTATAAGTTGTAAATACAAAATGTACATTGGGATTTGTAATTTAACTATACTACGAAACTAATGGGCATTCCGTGTTTTGGGGCTGAAAACTTGACATTAAACCTTAGGAATCAAGCCTGTAATTTGTTTAAAGCTTTCTGTACAATTTTCTTAATGGTTATTGAATAATTTTCTGTATAAATAAATGGCAATGATAGCATTGGCATATTATCTAATTGTTGTTGGAATTTCAATTTTTAGTATCAATAATATAATAAAGTAACTCTTGACATAAAACGTTGAGGAACACTGTTTTCTATTTTTCTCATCCAATGCAGATAATCATTAATTTTTACTTGCGTCCTGCAATCAAGAGCAAATTTTATTTAAGAAATTGAAACACATTTTGTGTAGTTTCTATTTTAAGAATTTTAGTCAAACTGCGTTATCGCGTTATCGTCCATCCTAAAAGCTTATTCTCTTCTACAAAAAGGTTTTATATGTCAAAATTAGCATTAAACGTATAATGCTTGCTTATGAATGCCTTTGTAGACGTCACTGCTATTTAAATGGGAAATTGTGGAACGGTCAAATACAAATTTATTTATGAAGAATAACAAATTAATACAATTTAAGTTATGAAACCGTGGAAAGCCGGCTCCCTGAATAAATATATTAAGTTGACGGAGATGACACTATTTCTTCATGTTATGTCAACAACACCACATCACAATTCCCAAAAATCAATTTATGACTAAATACAAAATAATTTTCTTGAGAATAAGTGAGAAATTTATTGTGAGGTCAAAAACTCTGAGATTAGTTTAAACAGAGACATATTTTCAATAAGTTTCTTCTATATCTAATTAACTTCGTTGATATTTAGTGCAATGGGCAGATCATCACGTTCAATTTTGCATTTGAACTTAAAGCAGAATATTTGAACTTTGCGACGGTTCTATATGCTAGAATGATTTTCAAATCTGTCAAAATTATTATTGACAATTATAATACGGCCAGTGATAACATTACCTAAAGTTTGTGAGAGTTTTATTACTTCACTAGCATTAGTACCCTGCGTTGCCAGGGTATTTATTATAGGTAATACCAAGAGTGCTTTGGAAATTGCCGGTAAATTCTCGCGAAGCGAGAAAGAGATTTATATGAGAATTTCCAAAGCACGATTGGCATTGAATAGGACTATTCCACTAGTGCAATTATATCCAGAAAAGTTCCAAAACGCGCAAAAGAGCGAAAGTTACTGAAAGCGTATGTTAAAATAAGAGGTTATGTTATAGTACATATGCTGTTTATTGGACATTGACCTAGCGGTCGATGTAAATCGCTTTCTAAGATAGATGAGTCACAGTGATGATTGACCGGTAGGAAAAATCGGATAGAAAAAGCTTTTGTAAAATTTGCAAAGAGCAAATTTGTGAGATACACCCCCTGATAAAGAAATTTTGTACGTATAGTTAAACCATATTGGTTTTAATATCACGGTTGGTGTAGTCACACTAATTTATTAAACAGAAGAGGTATTCCATCTATTCCCGCTCCGTCGCGGAGCTTACTTGTATCTATTCTATTTCATCTCGGCTCTGTCTTACCTAACCTCTCTCTGCCTTGCTCCCACTTAAAAATATATAAACTTTTTCGTGAGAAAGTCAGGATATTTCTAAGTTGGGTTTACCGCCTCTAAACTTCACTCATTTTATAACTACAATAAAAAGTCTAAACAAAAAAATAAAATACATATTCTCATTATTTTTGTGGAACTTTATGCATTATTCTCATCCTTTTAATCAGTTGCCACAATGTAAAACTTATTTACAGTTTATCTTTGTCTCTACACCGAGGCAACAGAAACAAAAATATAAATAATGTGCTTTTAATTGAATTTGAGTTTGCTTTTTAGGATCCTTGATTAATAGTGGCTGACGCAAAGGTGCTATTTAACCACTTAGACAATTATAATATCTACAAAAATCCAAGATCACACAGTGGATCCAGGCTTGATCAAAGTTTATGTTTTTCTAAAAGCTAATTTCAACAAACTTGAAAATCAATGTTGACACACATTCATTTCCTTACATTTCCCACTATTCTTTTACTGTAATACTATTTCTTCTTGTCGAACTTTCATCAATTTCAATTATTATTCCTTCATCATCCAAGGTGCGCTTTCTCCACTAAAATAAAACACTTTCCTGTAATAATGCACCCATTTGTCACAGTTTCAGCCTAACACGTAAATGACTCATAATAAGTTTCATTTTCACTCAACTCGTCCCACTCGCCAATACGTAATGATCATACTTAATGTGCTACAACTATACTAATAACTATTTCATGTGTAATACTTGTGTGCATTCGTACCTTTTACAACAATATTTAAGATCCATCAGCTAAATGTCGTTTTCCAAACATTTCATATATGAATAAGTATACTTTCCTCTATTACACTTCATACATTCACGCCTAGATGCAATTACAATCTATATCCAAATTTATTATAAAAATAGAGTGAAGAAAACCAGTCACAGTCATTCCTAAAGATACATATTTCGCAGTAGATAATTGACGGTAAAATCAAGTCCTCAGCTATTCTACAGATACACGCAATTCTTCGAATTGATCAACTTAATCGTGGAACTTAGACGTCATCTTCTGGTGACGTGCAACCAAACTATTGCACATTGATGTACTCTTGAATCTGTGATGCAATGCTATGTGAAAAAAGTCCAGAGAAGTAATTATTTTGTGAGTATATTAAGGTTTATGGTTGTAAATCATAGCCTATATCTGTCCTGACCTTTAAAGAAAGTTAGCACATAAATTTCATCACTATTGGTCAGAACATTCCGAGATTATCGCGCTGTAAAGTATTGCCCGTGTCTTTATATATTTGTATAATAATAATAATAATAATAATAATAATAATAATAATAATAATAATTTGTAATCTAGTATTCCTTTTTACGATATGATATTTTCAGTTACACTATTTGATTTCATTTTTCGTCCAAGTAAAGAAAACATGCAAAATGAAACTGGTGTCATTTTTTAATGTATATCCATGGAAAAAATATATATTAGAAGTCCTTTTCGAGAACGTAATTGTTTAAAAATGGCCGCGTAGATTTCACGTAAAATTAAGTGAAATCTACTCACATTTTCAATATTGTTGATGACTTTATTTAAAAATCTGCTTTCGATCATCATATTTTATTAAGAAAAAACCTTAATATTATAGTTGTAGGAAGACGCCGAAACAAATTGTACGTTTGATTTTTGTCGATAATTGAGAATTTTCAACAAATATGAAACCAACAACATTTTTTAGACAACTGCACGTTACCCAAGGGAAAAGTTAAAAAAAGAACAATTATAGAGAAAAGTTTAACAAAGGTTGTAGAAACTGCACGTAAAGTATCCCGAAAACACAAAATAATAATTTTGAACTCTCTTGTAATTAAGTTCGTTTAGACCAGAGAATATATATTTTGAAAAAAAACGTTTACACTGTTTGGACGCTTGCGTTGACTACATACGTGTTCCAACGGACGGAGAGACAGATTTTGCCAACAATCGATTTTTCGGTACCCAAGATCCACAAAACATGAATTTAGGTTACATAATGTAAATAAGAATGTAATTTTCTACGTTTGGGTTCAATATTTATCTACTTTTTCTTTACCTGGGTCGGAAAATACGAGTTCTTCTGCTGTAGCATAAGAATATATTCTCTTTATTATGTTAGGCGAAGTAAAACTCAATGTGACATGTGAAAGTGAAGAACGTTTTCTTCAGCTCTAAAAAATTACTCCATCATCTGATTCAAAAAATGATAATGTGTACTTTTTTAAAAGAAAGACTAGTTTTCGCGTAGTATTAATTTGAAATTAATACAAATTGTAAAAAAAAGCATTTTCTTAAGAACCGCTCTAATTTTTAATCATTTTTCCCCGGATGGAAAAAGATACGCTTAAAAGAATGGTGCTTGCGCCAGTCTTGACTCATTTCCGTTGAACACACTGAATTTTTGATAATTGCAAATTTATATACAATGCATCTAGTTGTAACACTACTAGTTCTTGAATTGCTACATTTTAATATTAGTTTGCTCTTGCTTCGTAATAATTTCTTCTGTTTTGAGAATTAAGTTCTGAGAAGATTTTTCTGGAAACGATTTAGATGGGACACCTCTTTCTAAGCTTGTAAAATTAATTGATGCACATTTCGAGTACTTCTCATTTTACATTACACATTCAGATTATTATGACTCTTGAGACTTTGTCATCAATGGTTAAACGTATCTCCTACTCCTTGGAAATTGCTTGCTCGGATTCGAAGATAAACAATATTTGCAAAGCAGATGTATTTCAAGCACCATAATTTATTTCTTATCTCAAATTAGTGTTTTCCGATATGACGTTGGTCTCTCTTCCCTTGGTATGTGTCTCATAGATTTAAATATATATGCACATATTTAAAATCAATTTAGGAGAATATATATTCAAAATAAAGAAAATTTGTAAAATGTTTTCAACTGATTTATTTCTTGACTGGGGAATTGTCCTATAAAAACAGTACGTATTTTGTAATAAAGTTACTTAAGTAACATTAAAACTCAAACTGCCTCAGGTGGCTCAGGGAACCAACTGATGTCACTACATTCTCGTCACTGGCCACATAGCTTGGTCAAATTCATTGGCTGCAAGGAGGAGAACTCCAGCAGCCGACTGCTCTGATCGGTAGTATTGTGGTTTCTCTGATCACCATCATCCCAAAGCCGGAGCAGCATCATAACAAACGGCCAAGGACCGCGCGCGATCGTTCCTTCCTCTTGCTTGACCTATCCTCACACACACGCTTGCATGCACTTCACTATACACATGTCGGGAAATTAGTCGGGACCTTCGAGCTTGTGCCGACTGGGGCGCCCCCCCCCTTATGGTTGGAGATACCACGTTGGGAAAATCCTCGCCAGCTGACCAGGAGGTCGGCATCGGACCTTAACGTCCAGGGGGAGATGAATCACCGCCACCTTCCGATACACTTACGAGACAAATGGCCCTAGGAATCGACGCGCCAGAAAACACTAACCAATTTGTTATTAAAAGTAATTCTGAAGTTCTGAATATGTCTAACTGCATATTGGGATCTACAGTAACCAACTATTGTTATCAGTCACATGATCTATGATTAAGGTAAATATTTTTGGCCAGATCCTCTTGATCTATTGAGCAAATTCTATGACTATCTCCTGCTTTTCTCTTACCAATAAGATGCTTCGCTCCGTCCCCATATTTTTAATGTTAAGTACGTTTAATAAATTTAAAAAAATACATCGATCATTTATCGTAAGATTTTGTTTGCAGTGGAAACCACCAACAACTTCCTGAATGAGGAGTGGCGCGAAGTGTTCGATTCGCTGCGGCCGTCTTTCGCCAAGGCCATCTCGGAGGTGATCACCGACATTCTCAACGGCATCTTCAGACAAGTGCCCTTCAAGGACGCCTTTTTGGACGTGGACGCGGTGTAAGCGAGAGGCTGCTCTTTAACACAATGAGTGGCCTGAGGACTCCGACGACATCTCCGAGGAGCCAACAAGAAGGACTCGGCGCTAATAGAAATATTTCCAGACACCGAGTAATGTAGTCACAGCAACTCACCGTCTTCTCTGGAAGAAACTAAATCTGAAATTGGACTTCAAATTATTGCACGTTTACCCACTTTTGTCGTCAGTGTACTGCAGATAACCTAACCTCATAAAATTCTTTATTACAGTTTGACCCCTTGATGAAATCAATGAACCTGGTATCAGTAACACTTAATGAGAAAGAACTGCTCAAGAAGACTGCAGATTAGTTCAATAATCATCTTTTATTTTATTGCTTTGCTTTCCCTTTTTCTAACTGAAATTTTGTCCAGTGGAAGAATTGAGTGCAAATGTATTTGAACTGAAAGACGAACTATTTTCTAAAATATTGATCACAACTAGTGAATGTTTTAGAAGACTTTAATTTATTGTCTTTAAAAAGTGATTTTTAGTCATTTCAGAAGTTGAACGCCCGTGTTCATGAAACATTTGAGCATTATAAGAAGTTCATGTCATTAAAAAAAGTTTATATCCTGTATTCATAATGTGTATTCTGGTTTCTGAAAGTTTTCGTTATTATTCAATTCATACCACTGCAAATTAACATCAAATACTCAATACCCCGAACACAATACAATATCAAAACAAGTTTCTTTCGTGTATTCATAATGTGAATAGTTTTTCTAAAAGTTTTCAGTATTATTTAGTATTTACCAACGCTATTAACATTAAATACTCAATACCACTTTGCAGTTATGCACTACAAAATCTGCTTTAATTTTCCTGATGGAAAATTGTACATTGAAATAGAAGTTAAACAAATTATTTGTATTAAAATCCAATCGCAAAATATCAGACTTGTTAAGAAGGACTGCAACAGAGTTCTGGCATTTTTTATTAAAAAAATAAATCTGTTAGGAAAAATAAATCCCTGAGTTCACCATTTCTTCATCTACAGATGTTAATATGTCCAAGGTATAGCAACAAATCACAATTATTTCTCTTAGTATTCTTATTGCTTGTCCAACAAAATCTACATTAATGTATTAAAATAAAAATTTCATGATACAGCCTTGCATCATATTTACAGAATTTCTCCTTGTAAAATCACAACATATAAAGAAAATATTACAAAGACTTAAGTAGAGACGAAAGTTTGTTTAATAATTTGCGTTACTAAATGAATTCATGAATTTATATAAATAATCATGTACTAAATTTATTGCAATTTTGTAACTTTTTTTTAATAAAAATACTGACTCGCCATGAATTTCCTTGACTTTGTTTACCTCAATGAACGAATCATTTAATTATTCCAGATCTTTCTCAAAAATAACCAACCTACTAAAAAATAACAACAAAATAACCAAATAACAAATAACCAATAGGAAATATATTACAAAGACTCAATATTTTTTATGACGATAAAAATAAATAATTGATGTGATTTATCAATATCTAGATTAGATTACATTTACCTAATCAAAAAACAATAAAAACTGTGTGTGACGTATGGGGGAGAAAACAATCCGCGCACGTTTTCTTGAGTTCCAGAATCCTTTTCCATTATTTTAACTATAAATAGTTGAAATATGAATCTATAAATAGTTAAAAATAAATAAATAAAAATAAAATTCAGGTAAGGCAATGGTAAGATTCCAAGATCAAAGAAGAGAGGCTCGCAAGGATCACGTGGATGGCATTTGTTCATTATTCGTTTGCAATCTAAAGGTGTGGGCTCTGCATGATGAACTTCTCCAGAATATTATGCCATATCTCAATGCACATTTGCATGCAATGCTCATATTATCCCAATGCACATTTGCAAAATACACGCAACGAGGTGGAGGATGGCTGATAGAATTTGAAAGAATTCTGAATGCGTAACAAAATGAACTTAATAATTTAGTGTTTAATTTTGTTATATGTTCATTCCATTCGAGGTTTGACTGAATTGAGAGACATAGAAATTTTGTTACCTTAACATAAGTTAATTGCATTTTGTTTATTTTCAGTGGAGCTTACGATTGCTGATTTGAAATGCAAAATGCATTGAAACTGTTTTATTTGCAATGCAAACTTATTTTATTGCAATGTTATATTTAACCTGAACAGATAGCAAGTATATATGGACATATTTGTAAATTCAAATAAGAACAATGTGAAATAATACAATTAGAGGTACAACACAATGGCACACACTTTCTCGCACACACTTTCTCACACTATTTTGTTTTCTAATTACTTAAGTTATGGGTAGTTTTTCCCTAATGTTCCACCCTGTTCCCAGCTGTTATCTGCCGGCGCCTAAACTATATTTGAAGGTTTAAAAAAAACCTCTTAGTTCCAAAGTTCGACGAAATTGGTAGACATTTGAAGCATGAACTTTTTTGTACTTTCTCAAGCTATTTAACTGATTATCACTGCAGTTCAAGCTTGAACTGTATTGTGGAAATTATTGGATAAAGTGGAGTGTGTTTGGACTTTTGTGGTTATTCAAAACAAGAGATAAATTTGCATATCATAATTATTTATTTGGGCAGTTTGTACTACAATATTTGAAGAAATAATGCAAGAAGTATGTATTATTGCCCAACCTATTGTTCTTCATCACTGATGATATCATTATCAGTGTTTTAGTTTTCCACATTAGCATCTGCCACTGACGACAAATTTAGACACAAATCTCTGTTGGTAGGTAACTGTAAAATGTAACACTGTCTGCAAATATTAAAACTTCTGAAGATTCCTCTGAGATTAAAATGTGCTTCTCCTTTAACCCTTTACTTCACCTTCTTTCCTCTCTTTCTTTGGTTTACGTCTCATCCTTCTACATCTGACGTAGAATCCACTTCTTATCTGTTAATTTCTCCATTGCTTGCTCAGATTTAAAACACAAATGATATATGCCACGAGAATAGGTTATACACAATGATCAAACGTCCATAACAAAAATACTGGTTATGCAGAATAACCACATTCAAAAACTAACACTATCTCCTTATCCTAACTTACAGATTGAGATAAGTTATGCTTCAGAAATAATTATGGAGAAAACATACATTTAAAGAACTATGTTTTTTTTTACCAAATAAGACTCTGGACTGTGATTCTTTTATAGCAATCACTTGAACTTTCGGAGCTAATAACTACGGACAAGGACTGCTTTTATTGACATTACAGTCAGCAAATGGCGGCTATGAAGCTCTAGCAACAGTTCTAATACCTCAAAATTTCAGGTTTTAGACTAAGGTTGTTTTTTAAATCCTTCATTTTTTTACATTTTCTCAATTTTCGATCCCGCAATAGAAAAATTGAAATCTGACTTCAATAACTTTGTAGAAGCAGGAAGCAAATTATTATTGAACAATTTGGAGCCGTTATTGAAAGAATGCCCTTTAGCGTTTATGAAAATGAAGGTTTTTGAACTCATTTTTACAGAAAACTTTTGGGTTTTCAAGAACTTCATCATATCATTGAAAGCATTTGTGTTAACAAATGAAATAATGTTTAAAAATGCCAGTAATATACAAATTGATGACGTGAGAGATTAAAAAAAAATACATTTGTGCCGTTAACAAAATCAATAATACATCGAAATGAGTTTATATTAGGTTATTTAGTTCATTAAGCGCTACCCGTTCCGTTGGAATAACCAGCAGCATAAATGTATCATCATTTCGTTCATATTTCGCAAGCTGACACGCTTTGAGCGACGCCTCTCCCCGCCCCGCTCCGACACCCATTGTCTCGGTTGTCGGTACTAGGGCTGGGCTAGCACCATTCTCTCGCCTGCTGACTGAAAAGAGCCCAGCGTCACCGCCACCATCAATGGTTAACATTGACGGACGGACAGGTAGACGTTTTGAAAAAAAAATGTTTTTTCGCTTTGAGGTGACTCAAAACGTGTCTCCTTTGAAATCTCGGATTCGATTATCCACAGAATTACATAACTTTCCTTACTTTACATATATTACTCTGTATCTACATACATATACGAGATAGTAACTTGAGGTGCTACAGAATGGCACAGACTTTCGCATGCTATTTTTATAATGTATTTGGTCTGGGCTAGCTTTTCGGTCTTTCCCCATTGTCTTGCCAGCTGTCATCTATTGCCGCGCAAAGTAAATTTAAAAATAATTCTGAATTTTTCGGTATCTAAATGGTAGGACCATGTGTTCTAAGTGCACAGACAATTGTCATTACCATCCTAATGAGCAATGAGTTTCTTAATTTCTGTGGCCTTATTAGTTCCGAGACTTCCCACATTTACTTTGATTAGTATCAATGAAATGAATGTGTTTAAAATTGTCCAGAAGTGTATTCATGTTACGAGTTTCATCACACACTATGTGTTATTAGTTAGACATTTCGTCACTTGTTGGGGAGAGGTAGAATTAAAGTTCTTTTGCCGTACTTTCGGAACTGTGGCAATCTATTTATCGTGCTAAAAAGTATTTTATACTGGCAAAAATGGCTTTTCTATACGACGAGGCCACGTTTTTCAGATGTTTTAATAAACGATTAAATAAATGCTAGAGTTCTAGTACAATACGAAGTAAAATGAAGGAAATCCCTCTTTCCTTAGATTTTCAGTAACTATTAATTTTAACTTGTAAAGAAACTTTCAAGCAAAAACATTCTTACATAGTTATTAAAACGAATAAAATCGAGCTGCAGTTTGATTTGAGTGTATCCTGCGGCATTTGACAAAACCTGTAATATCACGCATTGAACCAAAACGTTTTGAATACCCCTTGCCGAAATGTGTCTCTGGACCCGTCCCTGATTCATGTGGCGAACGAAAATACAGCCCAAGCATGTAGCCAACACCAACAAGTTTATTACATGGTCTTCACTTGCTAGTTCCTTACATTGTATAGTATTTATGACATTGTATCTTAAGAGAGATGTTCAAAAAGACCTTTGTTTGAATGTATTGGGCCCGCCTTAACATGATACACTTAGCGCTCTGTGTTATAAATAATAAATATTTAATTCCGAATGTTCTTCAAGATTTGTAATATTATTGGATTAACTGGCTTATGTTCTTTCTTTCACATCGGCCCATAGATAAAAGACGCTCGTGGTTAAGTCTGGTAATTGCGTTCGCCACAGTCCTTTCTTCTATGAATCTTTCATGAATTCGTGAAGCATGAAGTGTGATAAATTTCCCCCACCAGAAAAAATATTGCCGGGCCGAGGTAACGAAAAAATGGATAAATCCAGTTGCCAAATTTAGAAACAAATCCTCTAACACGTGGTGTCGTCAGAATCCATGATTAGTAGGTCCTTGATTCTAAAAAATCGATAAGCGCGCGTCTGTCTAATAAGGATCGGTCTTTGAGAAAACTTTTTTTTAAAAATTGCGTTAATTTCAGGCCCAAACTACGCGAAAACTACTAGATGGAAAAACTGTATTTGATATTTTTTAAAGAGCTTATTGTTTGAAACAGACTTTCTCTAAATTACAAAATATATATCTTCAATATTGTAGTTTTGAAATGTTACCGTTTTGCAATTTTCGAAAATACGGAGATGGAACTAGCACCATTTTTTAACATCTCTTGCAACATTCGAAGAGAAAATTTAAAGAAAAAATTGGTGCTGTTTCAGAGAACAAAATTTAAAAAATAAATATTGCCTAATTTCGCGCAAATTACACGAAAACTATTCATGTTTTCAAAACATTGTACTTGACGTTAGTTGAAGATCTGCCTTTGAAGAGCAAATTTTATTAAGGAAAAATATCTTTATCTTCAATACTAAAGTTGTGAAAAATCTAAGATTTCAACGAACATGAGACCTGCACCATTTTCTTAAGCGTCCTTTATTGTATCTGAGATCAAAGTTTAATAAAAGAAATTTATGCTATTTAAAAAAAAAATGAAAATGGTTTTGAGGCTTCACATAAAGTACTCTCAAAAATCAAATATTAGATCGAAACTTCTAAGCAGTGAACTCATTCAGATCAATCAGGAAATATCCATTTTGGAGAAATTCAGCGAGTGTTAACCATTGGCGGAAAGGCGTTTTGCCGTCAATCGACTTTTCGCTTACCTACACAACATGAATTCTGGCTACATTACGTGTCAGAGGAAGTAATTTACTATATACAGCACTACAATTTATACACTTGTTCATTACTAGGTAATAAGACAATTTTCTG